TTAGTCGGGGTGAACGTGGGTAGAAACATTGGCTGAAAAGCTTGTTGCACGGATGAGGGGAACAGGGGGCGTTGAGAGTGAGAGTGAGGGTGAGATGAGATCAGATGAACACGTACCATGTCGGCGTCGAGAGCAGCCATGAACTGGCCGGCACCTCCGGGCATGGTGTGGACATAGTCGAGAGCGTGGTTGAGATTACCGGCCTTGAAGTGGTGAGGAACTCCGGGGTACTTCGGGCGGGCGAGGTAGAAGACGTTCGGGTAGGTCATGGCCAAGGCGGCGATGCCGGCCTCCAGGCCGGCCGACTTGCCGTCGTCGCACACGATGACACGGAACCGGTCGCGGGGGTAGTCGATGTCGCAGGCGGCGCGGACGGTGTCGAGGACGAGGTCGTCCTCTTCACCGCAGCATGTCACGAGGGCGTCGACCGTGGGGACCTCGTCGCCCATGAGGCGGAGCTTGGGGCGGTGGCGCTTCTTCATCGACCACATGGTCCAGATGTTGTGCATGAGCGAGGGGATGGCGACGGCGATCTCGACGGCGATGAAGACCCAGGCCTGCGAGTAGATTTCCTTGGCGATCTGCTGCGCGGAGATGACGCAGTAGATGCGCAGGGCGAGGTAGGCGAGGTACATGGCGGTAGCGAAGAGGATCAGGAAGGGGACCAGCTTGAAGAGCTTGCGCTTCCAGCCGCCCCAGATCTCGGAGTCGTCGCGCTTGTGAAGTCTCGCGATCTGGTCGCTGCCCTCCACCCATTCCTTGTTGAGAACCGGAGACGCCTGTCCAGGGAGCAGAGTCTGCAGACTCTGGTGGCTCTGGTTCTGTTCACAATGTCAGCCGACACGATTATTATAAGCTATAATTCTCAATTCATTTTCATACCATTGGGCTGTTCGGCGCAGAATCAGTTGACCACGGATGCCTCGGGGCGGGGAGGTAGTCGAACGGCGTCTGCTGGCCGCTCTTCAGCGTGGGCGTGGCCGCTCGAGAATCGACGGGAGTGTCCATCCCCGAGATGGAGGGCCCGATGGACGGTGCGCCCGACATGCCGATGGAGTGACGGTTTGCCCAGCCTGGAGGACCGTACTCGTCGCCGCCTGCGATGGCAGGAGGTTGCGCGAACTGCGGCGGCGGCGTCTGGAACTGCTGCTGCTGGGGCTGCGGCGACGGGGCGTTGCTCGTGAGGGCGCGGGCAAAGGGGAAGTCGGGCTGGGACTCGTTGAGAGTGCTGGCGTAGGAGCCTCCGTACGGGTTCTGGTTGTACTCCTGGTACTGGTTCTGGCCGTACTGATCCTGGTGGTACTGGTCCTGGTGGTACTGCTGGTTCTGGTTCGGAGAGGACGCGTTGTTCTGCTGGTACGGTTGTTGATATTGTTGCTGGTGAGGGTGGTGATGGCCTTGAAGAACATCGATTTCCACCATTTCCCCCTCGTCATGCCCCTGCTGCTGTCCTCCTTGTCCCCTCATCATGGTTGCGGTGTTGCCCAACCGACGGCTGGAATGAACGAGTGAATAGTGTCTCTAAGGGCGGAAACGTTTGTGCGGTGCGTGCCTTGTTGGTATGGCGGGCGCGTTTTGTGTGTGAGCGTGTGTGTGTGTGTGAGCCGGGAGCGTGTGTAAGAGGCTGATCCAGGTGTAAAACAAGGCAAAGCGATTGTGGTTGTCTCCCCGCGCGCGTCTCTCGCTCTCCCTTTCTCTTCTCCTGCCGAGCCTTTGGAAGGTTTGGATATGTTAAACGAATGTGGTGTATGTGTCTAAAAAAGACACAAGAAGAATTAAGAGGGAAGAAGAAGATGGGGACCCGCTAGCAGAAGAGCATCGGCTGGACTAGTATGTCATCGAACACGAGCTGGAGCTAGTGCAGGGAGGGTTGCAGGTTGCAGGTTGCAGAAGAGAGTACTGACTCTCGAGCTTGCTTTCCCAAGAAGCCTTGACAGGAGGAAGTGCCGTCTGGGTCTCTTGGGGGGGAAGAGAGAGAAGGAGTACAAGAAAAAGGACCTCGAGGAGCAAGCAGCACAGGCTTGGAGATTTGACGGGAAGGGGAAGTCTGGGGGAAAGAGGGCAAGTCCGGGCTACGACAAGCAAGACATCTGGGCCAGGAGGCTTTTGGGGGACCTGCGGACCTGCATCGAGGCAAGTCTCTATGGACTCATGGAGGGGGACATGACTTGACGGGAACCCACTCGGACTCCGCTAAGCCTCACTGCCATGATTACGATCCGACCAGAAAGGCCTGACGTGATTAAAATTGGGAGGTCCAGGTTGGGGCCGGGTTGATGGAGCCCACATCGTCGGCTTGCCCAGTCCTGGCGCGAGGATGTGTATCTGCTGGACCCATATCACATTCACAGTTTTTTTTTTTGCCTGCGCCTTGAAGCTACCTCATGGTCTGTGCAACCTGACTGGTGTTGTGACCGATGTCTGTCTGTCTGTCTGGCTGCCTGTGTGCCTGTGTCTGTGTCGGAGTTGGCGGCTGCTGGCCGTCATACAGATGCTCTTCTCGAGTATGAGGGGGGTGGCAGAGCGAGACAAGACGCTGTGATAGTCCCGAGAGAGGAGAGACTGGCGAGAGACTAACACGACATGGGCACATATCACACAGAGAGAAGAGGCCAAGCGCTTGCTTGCCTGCTTGCCAACTTTGCTTGTTGACTTACTCGAGGGGTGTGTGGTTGTGGATGGACAGGGGGGTGTACATGTGTAGATGGGCGCGCGGGCGCCAGGGGAGCCGGTTAGCTTGTCTTGCCAGGCAAGCCACCAAGCCATGGCAAGCCCCGATGCCTGGTTGGTTTGGCCGCCGTTGGTTTGAATTGTTTTCCTCGCCTGGCATTGTCTGTGTTTTCGTCTCATTCGCCGTTTCCCAATCGCCCGCTCGCAAATTCGTACTAAAGGATTGGATGTTTCGGTCAATTGATGAACATCCAACCAGGGGCTAACGAACTCCACCTAGGCGTTGGATTGGGGAAAGGAAAATGGAAATGGGAAGCAAAAAAAGGGGAGAAGGAAAATAACATTGAAAAGGGAAATAACAATGAAAAAATTCAATCAGAGTTGTCAGTACCGGGCGGGCGGCGGCAGCGGAGGGCGATTCAAGCAGTGTCCTTGGTGGCCCCCCTTCGCGCCTGCGAGGGCGCCCTCACCACGCCTCCTCAGCTGTGCTTGGCCAACCCTTTTTCCCACAGTGTGCTTTTCTTTTTCGAGGAGAAAGAGGACCCGTTTTGCAAAGTGGACTTTGCAAAGCCGGGAACGATGCGCTCGCCAATGACGAGCTTCCGGGAGGATCCCGGGACCCTGTTCCAAGGTCCGCCGATGGCAGCAGCACAAGCACAGTCCGGACCACATCCACTTCCAGGGCCGTTATCTTCACTTTATCCCTGCTTTTTTTCTCGTGTTCTAGAAATGCGGGTACCCGTACAGCAGCAGCGCAAACCAGGATTTGGGGTGTCATGGTTGGGTGGGATGGGCGGCCGAAGGGTCGTCACCACACCATCCACCAGTCACCACCACCAACCACGGTGAACCACCATGACTCCCAGGAGAGAGAAGGGCACCGGCACATTGACGCGCTAGTCCAGGGGCCGGTCCGATTTAGAAGCAGGAGGACCTGCAATCGTCGATTTTATTGATCTCAGATGCCCGGACTTGCTGGGACACGCCGGCGCTGGGCTGGGCTGTAGCCTGTAGGACATGGAATTTGTGATTTGGGGATTGCGGGAGAAGACGACGGACGGCAGGAAGAAGCATGGATCCAGTCAGGATCAAGACGCAATTCTGACTTGCCCCAGGTACCGGTCCTTTCGTTTCGTTTTTTTGCCCATCGCGTCGGCTCGGTTTGTTTGGGATTCAGAGGCGGCAGAGATTGGGGGATTATCCCGTTGTCGAGACTCTCGGTCAGACCAAATCATGGTACACATAGTTCATACACAAAGTAGCCGTCATTAAACGCCTGCCAAGACCGACTGATCTTATTCATGCTGCAGTCCTGCACCGAAGAGAAATTACGAGAGGACCGACACACAGGCAGGAAGGAAGAAAGAAAAAAAATAAGACGTTGCCCGCCGGGGTGGCGTGCTGCGCCGCTGTTGAGAAATAGGGGTGGGAGGCATCATCTCATTCTCCTGCTTTTTCTTGCACGCTGCGTTGCCCGACTTGTGAGTGATGCTGGCATTCTTTTCCCTCTTTTCCTCTCTTCTGCTCTTCACTCTGCCACCCTTACCCATTCTCGACCTGGTCCGCCGCACCTCGCCGCATCGCCTCACCTGTTCAGGCCTTACGTTCGCATTACTATTGACCAGTTCTCCTCGACCGGTTCACAGGCTTGGCCAACGGCGATGCCTTTCTTCGGATAGTCCACCCACACCCACGCCCCCCTTCGCCCTCACGCCCCTCCCTCCCTTACCCCCCATTCCTGTCCCTCCACCCCTTTTCCCCCTGTCGTACCGAACCGGCCCTGCGCGAGTCGAGTCGAGTCCGCTCCGCGATCCCTAACATACCCTTCCTTTACCTGACCTGACCTTGCCTTGCTCTGCACCACCTTGCCTGGCCTTGGGTTCAGCACGCACGCACGCACACACACTTGACGCCCTGCTCCTCGGGAACGGACGAACCTCGTCGACCTTACCTTGGCCTGACGCCCGCCTTACCCTTAGGTAACCAACGTTTAACCCTCCATACCCGAAGAAGAACGCGACGACCGCCGTCACCGTCACTGACGACCACTCTCGCTTCACTCTGCATGTGCCGCCGGTGCTGCTGCTGCTGCGAATAGAAGTAGACGAATTCGTTCGGATTTCCGCCTGCGCGAGGCCCTGCATACACACCAATATTCCTCGCCATCTTTTCCGACGACACCAGCACGCAGCATAGCTGAGGATTGAGAGTACAGACGAAGACAGAGAGTGAGAGAGCAGCCCGAACAGCAGCAGAGGCTCCGGGAAAGGCTCAAGTTACACTCGTTTTTTTCCTTTCATTTCTTACTACATTCGTTTTCCGCTCTCGCCATGGGCTTTCTGGGCTTCCGCTGGCTCGTCAACTTTGGCCTGCTGGCCCTCCCTATCGGAGTGACACTCGGTATCCTGCTCGGTCTCGATGCCTCAAGGCAAGCATCTGGCGGAGCTCCTCTATTCACGGGAGATCCCACCACGCCTGGCAGCACGCCCAACAACAATGGCATCACGGCGATGGTATCTTGCGACAAGGCGATGGGTCTTCACCCGCTGTCCAAGGGCCAGGAGTACACACGTAAGTTTACATCCATTTTCTCATGTCCGGCCCAGCTACATCTTCATGATGTGCGTCTCATACGCCTCATTTTCCACGGTCCCTTCGGATGACCTGCTCGACATGAGCGGCACGGACCGAAACACACGATGCACAGTCGAGCCTCATTCCCGCCGGCACGCTGTCATCTGAACTTTCGCAGCCGTCCCTCATGCTCGACGGCAACACGGGCTCCCGTGTTTTGTTTGCTCCTTCGCCCAGCGAATCCGGAGCGGGTTTCCTGTGTCATGTTTACACACTTCTGCAATGGCAGAAAGAGACTGTTTTGACTTTTGCTCCCTTGATTTCGAAACCTGTCTGGGTGTGGCCAACCTTGCTGCCGCGGCCGCGCCCGCTGTCAAGCTGGCCAGACATGTGTTCAAATTATCTTCATTTCATCATGACAATTTCGCTGACGATTTATGTTTTACGCAGTGAACCCCAACCAGTGGGGTTGGACAGAGGGTACAGATGGCGCTTTGTGCATGAATGTACGTCTTCAAGAACCCCTCCATCCCCCCCCAAATCCTTCTCCGGTTATCGCACCTTGGCCGGTTGGCGGGGTCATAATGTCGTCAAGGTGTAACTTTGCTTTGCGCCGCAACGCCCTACCCGGCTTGACGCCCATCATGATGTCGTCGCCGGCGACCACCACCGCAGGCCATCGCAGCTAACCCGGCCACCACCAGGTCACGACTTTCAACAACCAAACCTATGCGACCGACTTCTCGGCGCCCGAGTTCTGGGTCACCTGGCGCTACCCCCGCGGTCCCGAGACGCAGCCCGTCCACGCTTTCCCCAACATCAAGGTCGACGGCACCGTCCTCCCGCTCGAGATCTCCAAGATCTCCAAGATCGCGGTCGATGTCGAGTGGTCGTACGCGGTCGGCAACTACACCACGGACGGCGACTCGGCCACGACGACGGACGAGACGGCGCTGACGGAGAACGACACCAACACCAACGTCGCCATCGATATGTTCCTGGACGACGACAAGACCTCCGCGCAGAACTCGACGCTCGCCGCGTACGAAGTGATGGTGTGGCTCGCCACGTTCGGCTCCGCGACGCAGCCCATTGGCTACAAGTCCGGCTCCGGCGCTCTTACGACCAAGGCTATCAACGGAACTACATTGTAAGTGTTCGCGATGCATGGAATGTGAAGGACTGATTTGGGCTGACATGCTATCTACAGCACCCTCTATGGCGGCCAGAACAGTCTGAAGCAGTACGTCCTGACCTGGGTCGCGCCCACGACCGAGCACTTCGTCGGCGACCTCACGGAGCTCGTCACGACCCTCACCGACCTGCCCGCCTCCGTCACCGCGCTCGCGACCGACGTCAAGTTCCCCACCACCGCGACCTACCTCGGCTACATGGGTCTGGGCTCCGAAGCGCTGTCCGCGACCAAGGTCGTCACCTTCCGCGTGCCGACGCTGTCAATAGACATTGCATCCTCGTAAAGAGAAACTCGAAAGAAGAAGAGGTGAAGAGACCGATACCAACCAATAATGTGTACATTTTGAGACATGGTGTATTAGGTTACAACCTCTTTTGCTGTGTTTCCTCTTTCTTACGCACAAATTACACAGCGAGCATTTGTGATATCAATTCAAAGAAATCTAGACTAATGATTGGGAACCCGGAATAATGAAACATTTTTTACCATTGTATATACGCATGCATATTCTCCACGTTCAATATTGAACGCGTCTTGTTAGCTTTTAGGTGTAGTTAAACGGTTGTATTGGCGCATCAAGCATTAAACACAAATCGAAATGGAAAATTGAGATTAAAAATCATGTGACGCGCGACCATGGCATTTATCGCATTTCGCTTGGCGACATGAATGTTCCACCGCACCAATTGATGATGACAATGCAGAATGCCGTACCCGGAACTCGCGGTGATTTTTGTCAACCCGGCACAGCATCCACTCTGACAGCTGCAAGCCGCAAGCGAAGCACAAAAAAAAAACAAGGGCCAAGCAATTCAATTCAACGCCGAGGCTCTCTCTCCTGTTGACAGATGTGGATTTACCTTGTGCCTTGTTTTATTCCTGGGCGAATTATCTTATGTATCTTCGTTCTCGGCAGCAGAAAATAAGCCGACAGGAGCCCCCCACTGACAAGCCTTTTTTGCTCCTCTGCCCAGTGCCCAGAGAGACGCTCGCGCGCCCCCTTAAACTTATCCGTACCCCCTCCCCTCGATCCAGCACCGCTGAGAGAATCCTTCAGAACCAGACGGGGAACACGTCCACTGCTGACTGCAGCCAGCTGGGGGCGTGGCCCGCGTCCAGACCGGGGTTCGACAGGCGGCCAAGCGGTCCAATGCCTGGGCAGACGCAGGTACAGACGCACGGCGAGCCAGGGGCCACCTGGCCTTTTTGACTCGGCGCCCGCGAATCTTCTTGTCACTTGGAGAGGGGCACACAGGTGGAATAACGCCCAGCTGGCAGCTAGACGAACCAAAGAGAAATGCTCTCAGAAGAGAGGCCTGGGCTTTGATGGAAAACACACTGTTCCTCCCCCCACACAACGACGTCAGACAGAGTGAGCGCCCACGTTCCAGGGTCGAGCCAGGCCGCGTTGGACACGGGCGGGAGAGTGGGAAGGGTTCAGCATCTCGGAATGAGCGGCCAGCGGGCAGCAAAAACTCTCTTTTGGTTTTCTGACAGGCCTGGCTCAGTGCCTGTTGACGGCCGTTGGTAACGGCGCGCTTGCGCGCTGCAAGGTGGTGCCTGTCCTGCGCGGCAACTGACTTGCCGCGAAGCTTACGGATAGCCAATGCGCGGGACAACCCACCACATCGGAGTCTTTGTGGAAAGTCCACTTTGATTGGGGTGGAGAGAGACATCGAGAGAGTTAGTTGTGCTTGTTGTTATTGTTGTTGTCTTTTTCTCGCCCGCTTTCCTGGGAAGAAAGGGAGAGGGGAGAAAAGGCAAAAAGCTCCGGTCGGGACAGGGGCCCAAGACAAACATCTCAGCAGAGAGATGTTCGTTCCCACCCGCCCATCATCCTCGGTTTCGATTGAATCATGGCGTCATGAGGTCTCAACGCGTAACAAGACATTGTCTTGCTTCCATCGGCGGGACGGCATTCCAGATGTTTCTGCCAAACATAGATAGTGTGCCGCGGTCTCCCGGTGGAAAATGATCAACCCTAGAGCATTCCCGCCGACGGGGCCCTTGTTTTTTCCTAGCTTGGACTCGTGTGTTTTTGAAGAAAGTGTAGATTTTCCCGTCGATCCGCGTCACGGGTGCGGCGGTGCAGAATAACAAAAATAGTGTGGTGTCCCAGAGAGCGAGTCAAGATTCGCATTCCAGCTGGCCCGCGTAGCTCAGGCAGAGTCTGGAGAGGCAGATCTAGATGGGGTCGTTCAGCTCAACAGGGCTGGGCGCTTCCGGCTCCCTTCTTTCTGGTCAGTCAGCCAGCAGTTGGGAGCTGAATGAGTGTTGCCGCACGGCCCGCAGGAGAGAGGATCTTGGCCCGGCGGCTGCCTCCGCCGGTGCGGCTGTGGTGAGGGAGGCGGCGACGGGGAAAAGAATGGCCGAGGACCTCTTCGTGATATTGAGGCTGGATATGCGGTTGACATGGAGTGTTGGTGAGCCAATTGTGATGCAAGCAGCATTGACAACACTTATTTAATGTATTTAAAGTTTCATCGGCTCCTTTGAGTGTCCAAATGGCGATCGTGAGAGATATTTGTTGCGACTTTTGTCATTGGTGTTTTCATGGCCATGGGGCGTCACGATGAACAACAACAAACATTCTGACGCGATTTCCGGCGCCCAAAGGCTCGCAGTAGCTTTAAAATACGTGGAACGTTTATTTAAGAGCCAAGCATTACGATTATGTACTTTGTTTTTGATATGAATAGTTGTGCTGGGGTCAGTGATTTTTGTCCAGTCCAAACAACAAACATTTAAATAAGACATCCATGTTACGAGAGATGTCGTCAAAACAAGCGACAGAACGTCGTCAACATAACCTCACCCATCCCCTGCCTAGCGGTAATCCAACCCAAACAATCAAAGTCGCACGACAGATCTGACGCAAGCAATCTCATCCCGTTTCCCGCGCTGATAAGTCGCCATCCAGTTCCATTCGTCAATCTGGCAGCGTCGCGTCCCGGAGGATTTTAGATAGGATCCCAGGATTGCGGGCAGTTGATCCTTCCGCTTATTGGGCATGGAGACGCAGGATATGATGCGGATCAGAGCCGAGCTTGGGCGGCGATTGCGTGGTTCGGATGGTGGTTCTCCGTGGGTGGTGAGATTGCCTAAAAGGGTATCTCGTGTCGGTTCGCGGCATCGGGGCCAAGGCTTTTTGGGGCTTGGGCCAGCCTTGTCGGTTCCGACCGTTCGGAGGTAATTTTCTGTTTTGAGTGTTGACCGAGTTTATTTCAAGGCCTACAATGACCTGGAAGCTACTACCTATGCCAATGCTCATAGGAATTGAATACTTACCAATGGATTGGAGGCTAGACATGCCTTGAGCGGAATCAAACGCTCCAACTCTAGTGTAAGGCTTTTCACCAGAAAACTACTCATGATGATTCGAAACACGCTTTCTTCTGAAGAGCTAAATACTACTAGACTTCTGTTGTCATCTAAGAATCTATGGGTGAAAACAAGAGACCTCCTATTTCCTTGTGCCTAGGCGGCTACATCTCCTGTGTAGCTAACTACTCATATTACGAAGGACGATTACGATGATAACAACAGTGGTAGTGACGGCAACGACGATAATAGTAATGAGGATGATGATAGTAACGGCGGTAGTTGTAGGGACGATGAGAGCTCTCCTCAACTTATCTACATGTGACCGTCACAGTGAAGGCCCAACTTGTCACGGACTCTTCAGCTGCCACCTAGATGGCTATTTAATCCGGTAGAAACTCAAAAGTAACCACACAAACTCTTGGTCTTGACCTTAATGCGTGCGGATGGCCCCCTCGTGCACCTTTTCGTCTTCTCACAGGACATTGCACCTTGCTGTTCTACTATTTATACTCCTCTGGGAAGCATTTTCAAGCCGAAATTTCGAAAGCTATCTCGTAACAATCCTTCCTGCACCAGCGACCACATCCAACAAAAATGCCTAGGAAAGCCAAATCGATCAAAAAGCGCCCAGCGCCTTACCGCGCATCGCGAAGTAGGAGCAGCACCACGAATTCCGAGTCTGCCTCGGTCATCGATGCCGCCTCTGGTCTAGCATCTGGGCATATAGTTGCTGCTGCCTCAGCTGTCGCCACTCTCCCTGATGCCTCTGCAACTAACGACATCTCCCCGGGACCAGTTGCGCCTGCTGGTTTCCCTATCTTCCGCCTTCCCAGGGAACTCCGGGACCTCATCTACGAATACACAGATATGTTACCACTGGGCCAATTTATAGAAGCCAGACTTCTGAGGGGCGAGAAGGTCTTCAATAACAATAATCACGTGCGGAATCCCCCCAATTCGAAAAAGGTTCCCTTCACCTCCGCCTGGAATAGACCATCTTTGCTTCGCGTCTGCAGCTAGATGCGGCATGAAGTCCTGGATCTATTTTTCACTGAAAACTTGATCAGTTTCTATGATGGCAGTGCAGCACCATATCACAGGTACTTTGAGGAAAGCGCATGGTTTCGTCTCGCCAAAGTCGGCAGCAGGGCAAGGGGACCCGAGATCCAACCGCCGCGACAGATTCAGTCGTTGTGGAAAGATGCCCTCGCCAATCTCCGCCGTCTACACATCAAAATTCGCCAGGGCGCCGTCATGAAGCCGGAGTGGTTTTCATCGGCGATGAAACACGCTTCTCGGCTGTCCGTCGTCAGTCTCGGGATCATCAACCGACGGGGGTGGGATCCAGAACTCCGTCTCGACGCATACTGCGCGGCGTTCAACAAGATTGAGAGTCTGCGCGAATTGAAGCTTGTGTATGGATTCCAGCAGGAAGACATCGAGGCGATTTCGAAGAAGGTCAGCTGTTCGGTGAAGACGCTATGTGACTGTATCCTTGAGAATAAGGGTGGCCGTGTAGGTGAGACGCTTGTCTCTGTGTTGCGTGGTTGTGAAGATTCTCGTCCGACGGACGTGATTCTTGGTTGTTATTTCACAACACAGCTCATGAAACGTGAGGTACTGAAAAAATGGTGGCATGCCAGAGGCGGGTCCTTCACAGTCAGCAAGGAAGAATACACGTCTGATGGATTGCGTCGCAAGCGCCTGGTGACGATGTATTGCACGGAAGCCTCGCGGCGGTTGAACGAAGTGTAGGACAGCCATACAACTGCCAAGCTGGAAGGAGCAGTGGAATGGATGAGGCCAATGACGGCAAAGACTTGGCTATGTCAAGGATGAAGAAAGGGCAAGATTGAAGCCAGACCAGAGACGACGGAAGGAGAAACGCCCTTAGTTACGCGGATGCCAAACCAATGCCATTCGGATCCTGAACATAGCCACTTAGGCCTTCGATTTCCA